CTGAGTCATTTCAGTCGAGTTATGAGCCGTCGCTTATGAGACTTAAGCGTCGTAAAATTTACACTTCGCAATTTCAGACGGATATCTTTGGAAAAGTGGAGTTTATGGCTCATAGCCGAGCACGGGGAAGAGACGACTGGATCAGCATCAGTATTAGCAGACGCTCAGCGCTGTGTAACCGCTACCTGAAAAGGAGGTTGTCGAGCCATCTGCGATGTTTACACGCGTTTATCTGCTGCTTAAGCGTTGGAGGTCAAGTGCAGTCGGCAGGTGAAGCCGTGCAGCCTCGACACCTTCAACGCAGAACGCAAACAAAGTCGTCTAAAAACGCACGAGTATCAGTCTTTAAAGGAAGGTTTCCGAGAGCAGCTTGCAGACTCTTCGTGGCTGAGAGCTGCGACCTGACTGCAGTCTGGCGGAGAAACGCTCCCCGACTAAAAGAAATGTCACAGTGGAAATCTGCATCTCCTCGCCCTGCTGCAATCATCCATCACGTGCATGCAGCCTGCTTGCTCCATCACTGCAGCTCATCCGTCCCTGTAATGTGACAGCGCCGGTACAGTCAAGGTTCTAAAGGACACACAAACCCAGTCCTGACATTCAGTGCACACCCCGATTAGAGTAATGTTTGATGCACTGATGTGGGATCGAGTTTTTCTGATTCTCACTAGAAGAGGTGGAGGCGAGTGCTTCCTCCAAATGTCACAAAGCGGTGCAGCAAAAATGATTTGTTCTGCAAAATAGTGAGACGCTGAGGTGTTTTAAGGCTGATGTGTGTGGAGGGACGTTTGCAGTTCGCGCGTGCATCGATGCATTTTAGCCAAAACCGGAACCGAAACTGCAAGCATTGACTAAAACTTTACAAATATTACAGACAAAGAAAGGTCCCACATAGGAGCCAAACTGAAGCCTCCAGAGTTACCGTCCTGCTAGTGCGTCGTCAACCACGCCAAGGTGAAAAAACCCGAGTCATGTGATGCTAAACTACCGAGTCACTGGACACGGATGCAGCCAGTGTGGCGCCTCACGATTTTACCGCCTTTATTACGAAACTAAAACTAAAACCATCGCAGCTTTTACACATTTAAAAGTCCCTCAACAACACTGACTTCAAACAACAACAACAAAAAGAAAAACGAAAGCACAAAAAATGTCAGAAAGCTCAGAATGTGCACGAGCGTATTTCTACAAAATCTTTATACAGAAATGACAGACTTCACTGGCGTCTGGATAAAAAGGGTTTTTAGTGAGAATCCAGAACTAATCGCTGCAGCATTTTTCCTCTTTGGTTTAAAACGAATCCGTCCATCTACTCTGACTTTCTACCTCCAGCAGATTTCACTCAGTCCTCACCAAAGTTTTTATAAAAGCCCATTTGGACGAGCCACTTTTCCAGTAATTGACTTCCAAACCTTTGCAGCCTATTTGACGGACCAACTGTGCGCTCAGACTTAGGAGGCGAGTGCACTTACCAATTCCAAGCGATGCTGCAAAATTTTGCTAGCATTTGGCGTTTAGGAAGCTCTGATTAATGTAAATATCTGTACCTCGGCCAGCGCAGGACTACATATCTACACTATCGCCTAGATTTTGATGCTGATTTTGGATCCAGGTTTATTTCCGTACAGTCCCAACAAGTCTTCAAAACCTCATACCGCTCAGACGTCAACACATTAAGAGTTTAGAAACTCTCAGCTTTTCAAATGAAATCCCTCGCTCTCAAGGCAATAACTGCACGCTTCATCCTCCCAAATGCTCCTTATTGATATTCCGGAGTCGACATTTGCCACGAAGGCATCACTTAAGCAGCGGGACGCGAGTTAGAGGTTAAATGATGATCTGGACATTTTGCATTTCCTCCACTTGTCATTCATCCAGCTTCATGAAGTCGTTTGCTCCGCCGGGTGACTGGATAAACACGGGCTGATGGATGGACTGGTGATCCGGGTCATGTCTGTAATGAACGGAGACCTGCGAGAGGCTTTCCTCAGCTGATTGCTTCCTCTCCGGGCCGGAGCCGTGTCATCCTATCAGATCGCTGAGGTGTGTCCGCCCCGTCCGACTGGCAGGACGCTGTCAGCTCATCATTCCTCGGCACCGCGCTTTGCCTGATTAATGCGGCCGAATTAGCCACGTCTCCCTGTCTCCATTTAAATTGCTGCAAAAAGGGCACGCAGGCGGAGGCTGCCGTGAATCCACATTCCACCCTCGGTCTCTCTGTAGTTACCGGGGAGCAGCGGGAGTGCATCTTGCCTTCGCCGTGTCATTATGGCGCCTCGATTCAGCATGCTGGGGCCTAAGTGGTGGAGGTAATGTCTCGTTCTGTTTGTACCCTGCCGTCTTTGAAAACGACGGAGAAATGGGAGCGAGGCGCTAATGGTACGGACCCACCGCAGATAGAAACACTGGGAAATGCATTAAAGTGCTCCGAAATGACGCCGCGTGTCTTTTGCCCTAAACCCACTGGCTTGAGAGTGGCAAAACATTTCATTTGGGCTTGAAAATGAGGCAGAAATCACAGCTAAGGACATATTTCCACAGCTCCTCCAAAGCCCACATAGCAACTCATGTGGCTTCCACAGTGGCATAAAGAAACAATTCCTCAGTTTACTCTCAGCGAAGCGTGACAGGTCTAAGATTTCTGCACCGCATTGGCTCTGACAGACGCTGACATGATGTACGGTTGAATTACAGCCTCTTTAAAGGTGATTATATAGCATGTGCGGGGATGAAAGAGGTATGAGATTTTTCATTACACTCCAAAGACAAAATAAGAAATCCACAGAGAGAAATGGGGGTGTCTCGATTGCAACGAAACACCAGGGCATTATGGGATTAAGTCGCAGCCCGGCAACACAGAGCTGGATCAAATTGATCATCTGAGCCGGAGCGCTCGGGGGCCTGCAGGCGAAGGACGCATGTTGTTTCACAAGGTAAGACGCCTGCCTGCAATGCAGTACAGTACGGAGCGCAATCTGCAGCCATCCCTGCACACCGAAGGGCACGTCTCTCTGCTCCGGAGCCACAGAGTAGCCGGCTGCCAAGCGTGCATCCATCTGAAACAAGACGCAGGAGGAGGAATCGGGTTGATCAGCTTTTGCAGACGAATGCAGATCATTTAACTGGCAGTGACATTCTCTATAAAGGCAGCGGCTGCTTTATGTGTCGTTAACAAGTTTTTCTATGGGGGCTGCTGCCATCGGCTAATAAGACCAGATTTCAGGAAGTTGCATCACAGAAAAAAAAAAAAAAAAAAGCCCTTTTTCTTCTCAGGAGCCCTTTAGCTGTGGTCTCAAATCACTGATGAAGTGACACATCAAACGGTGGCCGGGCTCACTTTGCTGTAGGAGGCTCCATGGTTGAATCAAGGCGCTTGCATGCTCGGAGAGATGCAGTAATTGGAGAGGAGGAGGAGGACGGCGCAGATGCAGAAAAATGGATTCTGTTGGACCCCAGTGCTGAGCCAAGCAGAACCCTGGAACAGCAGAGTCTCTGCAGCATCTTATCGCTCCCTCCCTCCCCCATTTGCAAAACAAAGAAGCAGAAAGAAGAGGCGAGCCTTCAGGTTGAGCTCTGCACGGATGCCCCGGGGAGCGTGCAGGTTATGCAGGGCCGTCTTCACTGTGCTGAGCTGTGCTGCTCCTGCATACGCTATTAGCAAGAAAACCCCCACAATAAAGCAGGCTGCAACAGAAGCATGTGAAGCCAGTGTGCTGTTTTCACTTTGTAGTAGCTCAGCTCATCAGTATTGATCTGCAAACACAAAAAGTTATCAGCATGCATAAATAGATGAATGAGCTTAAATCTTGTTTGGTGCTGGCACGCTAACGTTACCGAGGGAACTTAAATCAATATTGAATGTGGGGAAGGCAAAGAAAATAAATTCCACTCCAATAAACTCTAACAAACAGTCTCTCTTTTTTTTTTTTTTTTTTTTTGCCCAAAAAAAAAAAAANTAATTGTGATGAATTATCAGCACATCACAGACGAGCAGTTAAAGAACTCTAATTAAATTAAAAATCCGACCGTTTCATCTGTTTTTGAAGCTCCTCGCTCTGACAAACGGGGTAACTGTGGTGATAATATAAAGACAACACGCCTTCACACCCACCGGTGGGTTTAGAGAATTAACTGATTCAGTTTATTTCTGGGGAATAATTCAGGAAATGTCTTGTTATGGAGCGATAATTGCATTTTTTATGATCTAATATCACTTGTTATGACTCCACAGTGTGAAACATTTTGTCCCGACAACACAATCAGAAGACGCAGATTTAACTCGAAGGGACTGAATATTAGCTGCAATCAAACATCCTTTCGTGTTGCGATTCATCCCGTGAACTTAATCAGCGGTTAAAATATTTGGAGGATTATGAAACGTGGTCCCTCTTTAAGTGCTTTTCTCGTATCATTTCTCATTTACAGCGAACACAAAAAGGGACTGAAATATCACAAACGCGACGTCCACATCGTCTCCGTTCCTCCTCCACAGCTGATTTTTCTATAAGTGAGATGTTTTTCTCAGCCAGCAGCAGACCCCATGGAGGAAAATGGAGCCTGGTGGGAGTTCTGAGTTGAGCCCTCAGCAACAAAAGCAATTACAGCAGGCTTTTCAAACTAATGGATCCGACTGAAGGCTCAGCCTCTCCTTTCCTGAATCACGACGGCGTTCTCGCCCTCCACGAGCTGCGACACCCCAACCGGCGCTCGCACAAGCTGGATGACCTCCGACAATTGCTGCAGTTAAAAGAAGCCGGCGCTTTGATAATGTGTGCCGCCGCGCCGTTTCATTGTCTCGAGCCGATGCATAAAGGCGAGCAGCACTTAGCTTTTGATTATTTCAATATAAAGTATCGAGCCGTGGAAGTCTTCGCCTTTATGCAGCCCTGCAGCACACACTTAGGCGCTGAATGGAGGAACACACGGAGCTCGGAGTGAAACCACACATTCGTCCTTGAACAGAAAAGCTTCTCTAATCAGGAAAGAAAATCCAGACTTACTCTCATCAGAACCGGCGTTCTCCTCCATGTTTTTGATGTAGTCGTCCTGCAAAGACAATAAGTTTGGATTAAAACAAAAGTGAGAAACTTTAATTAAGATTCAGAGGAGTGAAAACAATCAGGTGAAGAAAAGAAAAATGAACTTTAAATGTATTACACTGAGGAGAAGTAAACTTAAAGTCAGTTATCACGACACTCTCGTAACCTTTAGAGCTTTCTTCATTCCAGGGTTTAATTAAATTGCGTCTATTTTGATCCCTCACATACATTCAAGTGATTGATTTCTCTTAATTTAGATTTTTCTAATTAAACTCGATATGAAAACGTAGAAACAGACAGAAACACAAAGCATTCACTGACATTTAGCTACACGTTATAATAACATCTCCAGTCATTTTAATTAACAGATGAATAAATGAACACATGTCAGGACAAAAACAGACACTTCCAGTTGAATTCTTTCTGTTTTTTGGGTCAGCTGCTGCGGTCCGGATGTTTACCCCGCTGTATGCCTCCGGATCATTTTCTATATTTATTGGTCCGGTTTCTTCTCTAGCATCTAATTCGCCCTCTTTTGGGGATCAATAAACTTTTATTGTGTCTTTTTGTTTGGGTTTAGAAGCACAACCGTGGGCTCCTTCATTATTAAACGCATCTTCTAATTAAGACAAAAAAATAGGCTGATGCATTTAATCATTTATTTCTCTTCATGAGAGTTTATACGAGTGTTCAGACTTATAAAAACTCTTCATTCAGACCTTAATGCTTAAGGTGCACTCGGTAGCGCTCATGTAAAGCTGCATGTCAGACTTGTTTTGCTGCTGCTCGGCCTCCAGGGGTTTGTTCTGCAGGTGGCTTTGGCCCCGAGGGTCTCACCGGCGGTAGGGACGACTGAGAGTCTTCTTACGAATCGCTGGATCTAATCTCTGGGAAAGACTTAAACTAATTATATGCGTCCAAACGTTGGGTTTGTGCACATATCAGGTTAATATGTGGTGGTATCGAGTGGGAGAAGCTATTCTGAGCATCGTGGCAGCAAACGTCCACCGTTTACCCCACAGAC